GCCGCGGCGTTCCCCCGGAGGAGCTGGAGGAAGTGTCTGGAGAGAGGGAGGTCTGGGCATCTTTGCTTAGACTGCTGGGCCGGCGACCCAGCCCCGGATAAGCGGAAGAAAATGGATGGATGGATGGATGGATGGATGTATGTATCTATACATATATAGATAAAATATATCTAATGTTATTTAGGACTATCTATGTAACTATATCTACAGTATATAGTGTTATTTAACTATGCAACTACTTTTATCTATTTCTCTCTAACTATCTATTGATCTATCTCTCTATCTACAGTGATTCTCCACTAAATACACAATCTGCTACAACACTACTAACTCTCAAAGCAACTAACGCAACAACAGCAACAAACAACCTACTCTGCACAGATTCAAATGAACACCACTAAATAGGGATATCCTGTCCCTGAACACACTCTACAGTATGTATGACGTCCGAGGCACTCAACTACCTCGAACATCACTCAAGTGCTTCAAACGTCACTAGTCATGCGATCAAAACATGCCTCGGCACAGTGGTTCGATACAATTACTTCATGAGCTACTGCGCATGTGTTGGAGCCTCAGGTGTCAGAGGACCATCACTAGCTGTGGCCCATCTGAACAATTTCTTGCGAGTTAGAATTATTCATAATTTCGCATCTGAAGTAAACATCCATCATCTATACTGTTCATCCTGACAAGGGTCGTGGGGAGCTGGAGCCAATCCCAGCTGACACTGGGTGAAAGGCTGAGTCCACCCTGGACAGGTCGCCAGTCTGTTACAGAGGAAGTAAACATTTTACTTATGAAATGTCTGAAAAACAAGCCCCATGTGATACTGAGAGGCTTTTGTACTGATGTGTTGATCCAGAATGAATCCTTAGTGCCCATACAGCCCACCACTGTCTGAGCTGGAGGGGGCAATGAATGGAGGGAAAGATTAGAAAACAAGCAGAGGTGGCAGAAGAGAGCAGTTTCTTTACCTGGAAGGTAATTATTTATCAATATATAAAACATCAGTAATATTCAAGTATTAAGGTCTTCAGGGCAGGTGTGGCAGGGGGCCTTTGCCTTCTTCTGCATTTCACAATAATTTGTCAAGCAGCCCCAGTTTGATTAGTCTATCAACAAATCATGAATAATAAAAAAAAGCTAGTCATGTTTTGTAACTCATAAAGCCATAAAACATTTCAATCTTGTATGTGTATTGTGCAGTGGGTAGCTTTTGGTGACACACCTGTCTCCACAGAGGTCCCTGCACAGACATCTTTGTCCACACTTCACCTTCCTGCCTCAGGACCAGACCTCTGCTTCGTCCAGCTGCTCACGTTATATTAGAAAATTCCCAAAAATAGTGTCTGACAGATGGCACCCAAGACGCATGTCACTTTTGTGGTCACTTTAAAGCTCCAGTCATATTATTAAGACTTTGACAACTCCTGGGGTACTATCAGAAGCTCTGCACACTGGTACCTTCATGTTTTTTTTTATAAACATGAAAGATAAGATTAAAATGTCTTAATCTATGAAGGCTATATGGAAATAAGTATACATTGTGGTGGTAAAACAAATCTTAAACAGATGACAAAGCAGCAGAAACCTCATTTTAAAGATATTTAAAGTGCACCAACATGCGCTGTCCCTGGTACTGAAGAGAAGAATCGTGAAACAACTTTTGACTCAGGAATCTGAATAACAAATAGTTTGCAGAAACATGCTTCAGCTTCACAGCTGTAGTTTTCACTACATATTTATTTCACTTAAATTTTTTTTAATGAAATTACAGACAAAATGTGTTTTAATATCTAATGCTTTATTAACAATATTTTTATAACAGTTTACATTTTTTTATGCCTCTGCACAGGCGACAGTCATGGCTGGAAATATAATTCCGCATGGTTTCAACCTGTACGCTTGAGTACAATTCAGTTCATCTGTACAACGGCAAATCACAACAGAAGTCATCTCAGGAGACTACATAGTAATTTCTATATCTTACCATTATTATCATTATAAAGAAAACCCCAACAAATCCCCCTTAAGCAAGCACTTGGCGACAGTGGGGAGGAAAAACTCCCTCTAGAGGAAGAAACCTCAGACAGACCCCGACTCAAGGTGGGCGGCCATACTGCCTCGACCGGTTGGGGTGAGTGGATAGTTTTCATAGTCATCACCATCATGAAAAATAAGGCAAATATGCCCAAAGTGAGTGTCTCAGAGCTTATTTAGTCATCTGAGCTGTCTGTCTCTGCCAGGCTCGCTCCCTCCCAAGGACCTAAAACGCACTCCTGGATGGTATCACGGCTACTGCGCAACAGAGCACTAACAACAATCCCATCTACCTATGAAACTGCTAAATGTATTCCCACATCAGCGATAATACTTTGCAGGGGCGGGATAAATCCCCCTGCTGGGAGGCCTCCCAAGTCCAGAAAATCTATTAAGCACACAAAACACAAAGCTTTCCCACCCCACGCCTACCGGGAGCGCGAGTCTGCCCCTTGAAACTTGGCAGAGCGAGACAACTCAGAAATGTAACCTTAAAGTAAAATAAAGGTATTAAAATCTGGGTGGTGAAGATTTTGAAAACAGCACAACTACACTTATTGAGACAGGCTTACAACATATCAATGCACAACTTCATGTGTGTGGAGTCAAAGGACCTTTGTGTTTAAATGTCAAAGTGTACACACCCTATAACAGGGGTGGGCAAACTATGGCTCAGGGGCCACATTGATTTTTAAAATTTGACAGACGGGCCAGGCCAGCACCAGATGCATGGATTTAAGTGAGAAGTTATAACATATAAAAGGCATTACAGTGTTAATACTTACATTCACGTTTAGTGGGAATAGTGTTGTTGATCACCCTTTTTGCCAGAGCATCGAAGTCTGGTGTTAGTTTTGTCGTGGCAATTCT